TCCTAAGAGATGCTCAAAAACGGAAGCGAGAGGGTGACAGTCCAGGGGAGACTCGAACCCAAACCGATAAGAGGAACAAGGAGGAAGCTCCTCCAGTGGAAACGGAAGTACCAGATCCAAAGATTCCTCAAATGGAAAGAATGGGGTCAAAAAGATCCGCAGTTCTAATCCGAGTCGGTCAAGGATTAACGTATGCTGACGTTCTGGGTAAACTTCGCAAAGAGGTCAACCCGGACGACTGCAATACGAGAATAGTAGCAGCAAAAGCTACAAAGAAGGGAGACCTTCTGATTAAGATCAGAGGAGGCTCCGACAAGGGCGCTTTCACCGCTGAGGTCACCAAAGCGGTTGGAAGCATGTGTAAGGTGCAGTCGTTGGATCGAAGAGTTACACTCGAGATCCGTGATTTGGATTGCCTTACCCAAGAAGCCGACGGAAGCGATAGGAAAGCCAGGATACAGGAAAGTGACGGTCTTAGGACCCAACCGCCGAGGGATGAAGCTCTCGGTTGTAGTCACCAACCCGGAAGAGGCGAACAGGCTGGAGAAATTGGGACACGTAAAAATTGGTTTTATGTGTTGTCCAATTAAAAAAAGAGTAATGGTCGTCCGGTGTCATCGTTGCTTGGGATACGGTCATATTGGAGCGAAATGCCAGAAGGTGGACAGATCGGCTGCGTGCTTTAAGTGCGGTGAAGCCGGTCACAGGTTCTCCAACTGTAAGAAGAGCCCAAGTTGCTTTTTGTGCAAGGAAAAATTTGTCAATAAGGTGTCAACCACCCATATTGCAGGCAGCGGAGGATGCGGAGTCTTCAGGACGGCCCTTGAGGAGGCGAAGAAGACTCTCGCAAGAACTAAAAGCAAATAAGAAGTATTAAAAGGAGCCAAAAAGCGTGATTTAAACAGCTTTTAATTTGTTTGTTTGTTTTTTATTAATTTATTTTGTGATTTATTTGTCCTTATACATTTTTTTTGTTTAATTTGTTTTGTGTTTTTTATTCGTCTTTAAACAGTTTTATCTTTTCAAAATTATATACGTGTTTACTTTTTTTTCTTTTCTTTTTTATATCCGTTTACAATTTTATCTTTTGACTTTTTACACTTCTTAAAATATTTGTTTTTTTTATTATTGTTGTGCTGTGAATTCCGCTTGGACTTTGTAATAGTTTTAATCATTTTTTTAACTACGGACGCAGGAGGATCGCAGAGAAAGGGAGAAGGTCGCATTAGCGACAGAGTTGGAGCGCCACCCTCGAAGGCTAAAGTCTTACGACAGTTCCCAGGGAGGGTAAAGGGCTCCAGAAGAAGGGTTACGGGTTTTAGTGGGTCGGTCTGGTAGTAGGTCGCCAGTTTATTACATTTATTATAACATTTATTTATCTATCTTTTTTTTTAATATTTCCTTTTGTTTCATTGTACCAACCCCACATAACCTTGGAGTGCGGAATCCAAGGTATCTGTAGGCAGATTTCCCAAAAGTCCCTAAGCAAAAATAAAAAAAAACCGACACCAAATTTTCAACAGTATAAGAATTACTTATAGGCATTAACATGGATTTTTTTCCAAGAAACTGTATGACAGAAAAGTTTGGATACTCCATCAGAACAAAGTAGTAAAAAAATTAGATCAGCATTTCAAAAAAATATTTGAACTACGAAAAAAAACATACAAATTTACCCACAGAATAAACACAAAAAGTCAAAAATTCGCAAAAAACTTTTTAAAAAAAGATAAAAACGTCAAGATTTCATAAAATTAGCGAAAGTCAATTTTTGACCAAAACTACTACCTTCTCATATGTGATGAGAATGTATAAAAATTTAATTCCCTGTTAAAAATAAAATCAGAAATAAAGAGAAAACGTCAGAAATTTTGATGTTTTGTGACAATTTTGATGTTTCCTGAAGCTTTTGATTAATTCTGACTAAAGGGTTTTTTATGCTCCTGTTGAATCCTGATGTTTATGGATTGTGATTATTTAGCATTGAAATCTTTTTTTTATTTACAGCCCCTCACTGAAATAATCGTCGTATTAAAATGTGTCATTAGTTGTCATGGCGTTGCCTTGAGTGTACGTGTTTTCTTCGTCCATTGTCACCTGTAGATTTTGATATTTTTGTGTACCGAATAAATAAATAAGTTTTTATTATATAAAGTGCAAGCATAGTTACACTGAACTGAAATAAATTTGATTCAATTAACCGATTTCTTGTCTATTATTAAATAATGATTACTAATAAGGTACATGTTAACAAATGTCATCATGGAAGTATATGAAAAATTGGACTTCAATAATAAAAAATAAATAAATAATTTCATTTTATTATTTTAAATAGTTAATGTAACTTTTCTTACAGATGCTTCTATTATACAATCTGTTACTAGCATCTCCTAAAACTGCAATCAAAATAGTTAAAAAGCAGTCAAATTAACCAGGTTTTCTTTATGTGTAAAACTCAGACCAGAATTATGATGCATATCTTCTTCTAAACGTTTTTTATTTAGAAAATATAGTTAATAACTATAATTTTATATGCAATAGAAAAATAAATTTGAACTGTATTATTCACTACTTTTAAGTATTTAAGAAAGCTTTATTTTATTCACTATTTTGACTTGCAGAGTAAATTGAAGTTTAAAAGGAAAATACTTTTAAGTCCACTTTTTGGCTATCGGCTATTTTTAAGACTACATAGCGACTTTATTTAAGCCTGAGTACCGACTTTTTTTAAGACTCTTTTTACAAACTAATTTTAAGTCTAGGATGACTACTTTTTGTTACATCTTAAAATTAGCTATTTGCAGACTTTATTCAAGACTTTTTTTTCTGTGCGAAAGAAGTACGAAACAATCCAAAATCTGTATGCTAAGAAACCGAAAATTGTTTGCAACAATACGGATTTATTCCAACTAAAAGGTATAAGTCGAAATCTGTACACAAAGAATACGACATTAGTCCGCTTCAATTTAGAATTGAATATTTTATCCAGTTAAAAGATTAAATCCGAAACAAGTATGGAACAATCCAAAATCTGTATGCAAAGAATCTGGTAATAGTCAGCGTCAATCCGAATAATATCCGATCAAAACACCCCAGTCCGAAAATAAGTCTTATTATTATAAGAATTTGTAAATATATATACAATCCACAGACAGTTCAAAACAATACATGTTCAATCTAATTCAAAGAGCCAATCCGGAATGATTTTGGTATAATATTAAATTTGTATATTAAAAACAATTTGTATTAAATGCAGATAAATTCAAACTATAATTATAATTTCGTATGACAAAAACCTGACAAAAACCAGATTAATTCCGAATTTAATCGTCATAATTTCACATTTGCAAGTTGCGTATTATCAAACTAACTTCGGACTCGATCGGACTAATTCCAGATTCACTAGTTATACACAAACCGCATTGAGTTTGAATTTATCCGGACAAATTCCGAGTGACAAAAACCTGTCCATAAGCAGACTCTTTCGGATTAGCTGCGGATTCACTGGTTAAATCAATCGGATTACTTCTGCATTTACTAGTTGCATATAATCTTACTTGCTTTAAACTAAATGTCCGGACTAATTAAGGATTCAATAGTTATAAAAAACTGTATTGATTTCAAACTTAATTCAGGATGAAAAAACTCGACAATAAACCGAACTGTTGCGGATAAATTCCGGATTAGTCCGAAATTTGTCTCACTTTTTATTCAGCGTATTTACTTATGGTAAATAAAATATTTACTTTTGCAGTCATTTTTTTACAAATTTACTACTTGTTCACAAACCGTATAGAGTTTGGATTTTTCCGGATTAAATTCGGGTGACAAAAACCTGACCAAAAACCGCATTGTTTCGGACAAATTTTGGATTAGTCCGAAATCTGTTGTAGTAGATGTGTTGCAGTAGATGGCACTGTCTGTACCGTCAGTCCAAAAGTAACGATTCCGATTAGTAGAATTAAATTAATTAACTGTCATGTCAGTAGAATTTACTACGCTCTTCTCTCCGTGTATCTCTTTCGATTTTTTAAAACATTAAATTAAAAAAAAAACTTAATTACAAACACAAAATCGAAAATTTACACTTTAACTTTCCTGCAAAACTATATTATACCTTTTAAAGAAAATGAGCCACATACGATAATCCCCTATTTTAATTACTATATATATAAACCTATTGAGCTGAAATTCGATATAGATACTTATTTTTAAATGTAAATTACAAGAAAATATTGGAGGTAATTAATACAAACTATCAATTTATTCTTATGTTTTATTTGTAGATATGGGTCACAGGGTCAGTTTTTGCAATTCTTTCAAAAAAATCCAATTCCTTTCTCTCCTAGTTCGCAAATATGTCCGCCAATCAGGTTTTCTATATTTTTCACAAAATCTGCACTTAAAAATAAATATTTGTACCGAATTGCAGCTCACTAGGTCATGATTTGTAAAAGTTAAGGGGAGGCAGGGTCATTTCTTGCAATTTTAAAAAAAATTCAATTTCCTTCTCTCCTAGTTCGCAAATATGTCAGCCAATTAGGTTTTCTATGTTTTTCCCGTAATCTGCACTTAAAAATAAATAATTGTACTGAATTGCTGTTCATTAGGTCAAGATATGTAAAAGTTAAGGGAGGAGACAGCCTATTTTTTCCAAATAAAAAAAATGAAAGCTATTATGGTTTAAAACAGGGACCAACACGGAAACGAAAAAACACAAAAATTCGCGCCGTGTCCGTGTCTTGACACGGCACAAAGTACGCCTAGTAATTCGTACAAAATTCGATTGGTAATTCGTGTCGTGTGAAGACAAGTTTTAAGAACACGCATGAAATACTGTGTAGAATCTTGCTAGCGTTATTTGAGTCGATTGAAACACAATCCGAATTACCAAGCAAACTTTGTGTCGTGCCTTGACACTTGATTACATAAAGAATTTTTTTAAAAAAAAAGCTTAGGTGGTCCACTTAAGATGACATTACTCTAAGACATAAATTTACCTGCAGATCTTCTTCTCGGTTTCAACCACGGATTCGATTCGAGAATGGCCTTTCTCCTCTCTCCGTAGTCCCACACTAATTCACTGTTTGGTTTAATATCGAATTTTGCTTTGAAAAAGACTCGAGGAACACCGTCAACTAAAGTTTTGAATGGTATTAAGTTGGGATTGTCGGAATGACTCATTAGTCTAGCCTTAAATTTTGTTTCTCGAGTCGCATCTATAAATGCTTTTTTTCCATTTAATGTGATTTCTAAAATAAAGCAACCTTTTTTATTTTTTGTATATTTAGTTTCTCGCTTCTCAATTTCATCTTTACTAGTTATTAGGTCCCCACGGTATTCCAGCACAGTGGTACCTTTTTTAATAAATTTATTCGTGAATACACATCTGTTCTTTCCTTTTAAAACTCGAACTTCGAAAGAACTTTCGTCTATGTTTTCTTTGTTAAAGGTTGACATTTTTCATTTGTATTAACCTGTAGGGAAAAAAGAAGAATTTTTCAGTAACAATATAAATAGTAAAAAAATGTAAATGTTCATTCATAAAGGGAGCATTCACAAATTACGTAACATCAAGTAGGAGGGGAGATTATAATTATGTTAGATGGGGGAGATAGGGATATTATTGTAAAGTTACGTAATCCTTTTTAATAAAGGAAAGGCTTGCAGGTCGCCCCAGCTTGCAGGTTGTCATGGCAACATACAAGAGTAAGAGAGTCAGTGAATTCAGATCACATGTCTTTTTCTTTAAAATTCCCTGATTTTTGCTGACTGCGGTGAGCACCCTGGTTATGAATTTTTCAAACTTGAAGTATTTCAGTAACAATAATTTTGTCTCACATTTTTTCCTACAAAGTGAAGGACTTTGTATACGAGTTATCTCCGCGTAGCGTACGATTTGGTTTATGAAATTAAGAAAAAATTTTTTATCGTTATGATTATTATCAATATATTTTTTTGAAGATAAAGGCTTTTAAAAGAAAAATCCATAGCGGGCCGGAAAAATTATTTATAATTTTTGTTGTAAACAAGTGTAGTAATTAACTAATTCACTGTTTGGACACATTCTGTCAAAAAAAATTTTGCGGTAATTTAAACAATATTATAGCGTAAATCTCATTTAAAAATTATTATTTTAGTAATTTATGGAAATTTATGGTAATTTATGGAAATTTTTGCGATATTTCATAAAAATATGTAAAATTTAAATTATTATTAAAAATTTGGATTTTGGTAATTTATGAAAATTTTCGCGGTAATTTATGGAAATTTATAAGGTAATTTAAGACAATTTGTAAAGTAATTTAAAGAAATTTTGTCGGTAATTTTTAAAAATATGCAAAGTAGAAATCATAATTGAAAATTTTTATTTCGGTAATTTATGGAAATTTTTGCGGTAATTTATCAAAATTTTTGTGGTAATTTATGGAAATTTATTTAAGTAATTTATGGTAAACTTTCCTGAGCTATAGGTTTTTTTTATTCCTTATATATGTGGCACCATGACACTACATTTGCACTATGTTCTTCGTAATACAAAGGTCGGTGGAAACTCAGGCTGGTGGGAACTTTTTCAACCGACTTTGGATATTTTAATTTTTTGAAAAAACTATCATTAATTTTTAATCGGTTTAAAGTGGATCTCATTAGTATTGGCCAAAACAATATAACTACGCTTTATTTAACCTTTTTTATAAATAATTGTTTAATTTGTGGTAAAATATTTAAGGGCCGGTGGAGGTCGGTGGAGATTATTTTGTGATTCCCTTATCAAATTTCCAACTTAAAATGAGTGAAAAATGAATAAATCAATTAGAACATTGATTCTTTTTCCTAAATTAACTTAAGGAAGTTATTTTTTGTGTTTACAAAAGTAATTTTAAGTTAACATTTGATTTTCAATTAAATAATTTACTGTTTGTTAATAAAATAGTGAATAGCATTCAAATTTGCTGTCAAGCATAAACTGAAAAAAAACATATAAAATGAATTTAAAAAAAAATTTTTTATTCAACTGTACTAAAGTAGACGATACTAAAATGTCAATAGTAATTGTATTTATTATTGCATGTTACTAAAATTATTAACTTTTTTCTAAACTTCCTGTGGGGATAGGTAAAATTTTGACGTTTTTAGCCTTAAAACCGCTTATTTATGAATAATTATAATATTAGATACAAAAGTAATTATTTTTTTCAAATTAAGTAAAAGTCGAAATAGAATTTTAAAGTTCAATATTTAAGAACGAAATATTCGTGGTGGGCCAGACAAAACAATTATAATTTTCTTTTTTACAATAAACACCCATGTAAAACCCAGTAAAAAAAATTTGATACACGGACCGCGGAGTTCGTATACGAGCTCGGTAGCTCGTATGAGAAATATGAGAAATCTCTCATACGAGCCTTATCCGTAATGAGAAGTGTATAGATGCTTGTATACGAGGTGACTTTTAAAGCATTTTTCTTAATATAACACTATTTTAAAGTAAATGTAGATAATAGAAATGAATTTTCAAAGTATAACAAAGCTAAATTTATAAAGGAAATGAAGTTTTAAGAAAAAAAGGATAATTTTGTTCAAAAGATTTATTCACACTGAAAAAAGGTTAGAATTTGATAATTCCTTGTTACTCTAACTTACCGACATTAGATATTTCTCGGATGCGGTAAGCACGATTTTGTATGTATTGTATTTTATATTGTATATAAATGTTCTTATATAAAATAATTGAATTTAATACAAAATCTGCTTACCACATCCGAGAAATATCTAATGTCGGTAAGTTAGAGTAACAAGGAATTATCAAATTCTAACCTTTTTTCAGTGTGAATAAATCTTTTGAACAAAATTATCCTTTTTTTCTTAAAACTTCATTTCCTTTATAAATTTAGCTTTGTTATACTTTGAAAATTCATTTCTATTATCTACATTTACTTTAAAATAGTGTTATATTAAGAAAAATGCTTTAAAAGTCACCTCGTATACAAGCATCTATACACTTCTCATTACGGAAAAGGCTCGTATGAGAGTTTTAACATATTTCTCATACGAGCTACTGAGCTCGTATACGAACTCCACTTACTTTATACTACTAAACTTGTTTTGAGGTAAAATATAAATAATTATTCATTTTATTACAAATATATTATGATTCGACCATGACGATTCTGTGATTCCCTATGCAACTTTCATGCTTGCACTGTAAAAACAAAGTCTTCCTTTAAACCCAAAATGTGTCTTTCTTCAAGGTGTAAATGGAAGTAGACCATTTTGTCTGAATGTCAGTAATGATTAGAAGTTTAAAAAGAATACTCCCCAATTGATACAATTAAGGTGTTAAATGAACTGAAATTCAACTGTAAGCTAGTAAGAAGGCTAAAATTTAGCTAAACCATCTAGCTAAATTTCAGCCTTCTTACAAGCTTACAGTTGAATTTCAGTTCATTTAACACCTTACTTGTATCAATTGGGGAGTCTTCCGTTTACACATTGAAAAAAGACAAATTTCGGGCTTAAAGGCAATGTCAAAGTCGATGCGATTTTTCCATTGAAGCCTTAAAGGAAGACTTTGTTTTTGACAGTGTATGTTCATATTCTTGAATTTTATTAAAATAAACATATGTCACATTTAATTTCTTATTACAAACAACAATTATTAAAACTATCAGTGGAAATTTCTCTCTTTAAGATAAAGAATTAAATGCTAATGCACATATATATTAGGTGAAATTAAGATTATAAAATGTTTATAAACTTATTTATAATCGAATTAAAATATTAACATACTAATAAAACTAAACTTTCTGTCTAAGATTCACCAATTATAAATATAATTTATGCACTTGTATATTATTAATAAAACACGAGTCAAAAGTAAACCGACAAACCGGCGACGCGACGCGCTATTCAGACTTTTCACGTTTGCAAAATGCGTCCCTTGTGACGTTACAATCAACAGTTTCAGCCTCGTCAGACTTACAGTCAGCTGTAGGCGTACCTTATTAGAAGTTAATTTCATCTAACTTTTTATTAATACCATTGGATCTGAAATTAAGTCCGGTGTACTACAAATAAATTACAAAATGAGTTTTATTTTAATAAGGGACCGTCCATAAATTACGTAAGGCATTTTTCTTAAATTTTGTCCCATGCAACCACGTCTGTAAGGTTCCGTAAGATTTTGAACCACCCACCCCCCCTATCTTACACGGAAAAAATAAATTCTGTAAGAATTCCTGAATTTGTTCCATAATTGAGGATTTGTGCAAAGTTCCAGAAATTTTTAGAAATTCAATGTAAGTATATCTGAATCGTTCCGAACTAATTACGAAACGGTTTTTGTGAGACTTTCAAAATCAGCATTGTAAATAAATTCCTGGAGAAATACAGGACTGGTCTATAATATTATCGAAATTTTGTCGTAGAAATTATATTTCTTCTAAAATAGTATTTACAAGCGTCTAATCAAGGAGAACTCCAGTTTAAATTTCATAATAATTCCCGAACTTCATCGAAAGAAAAGATGTGCCGACCCCGTTTCTCACAAGCGCTGAATAAAAGTAAAGTCTAGTATATAAGAGACTTCCTAGGTCCCTACAACCAGCGTGCGATTCAATGCGCCGTGTATTTGCGTTTATTTGTGTACAAATTATGTGTGCGTTAGAATATATGTAGGTAGCTATAAGTGTATTACGTATGTATGTATGTGTGTGTGTGTGTGTGTGTGTGTATCCTCCTCAACCAATCACAGTTCGCCTTGCTTGACGAATGTCGATCAAGTATATACGCATATACACAACTTCTTTTTTTATTTTCTTTGCTACGGAACTGTTCCGGAACTATTCTGTAGCCCTTATAAGAGCTTCTTCATATATGAAGCGACCCTCTGAATTTTTCCCGAACTCATCGGAAGTTCTACCGTCCAGACTATCTGAAATACTCAGCCGCTACATTTCGTAAAGCTATCACATAAATACCGAGTTCTTACCATATAATTCCTGAATATCTATTTTGAAAGTTCGACATTTCTTCCAAATAACAGCTCTATAATAATTACCGACTTTTGCTCATATCCTCAATTTCGGAACGAATTCAGGAACTATTTCCGAATTATTTTTTTCCGTGTACGTAAGTCTTTGCTTAGGTATTTTTTACGAGAATTTACTAGTAGCATTGCAAAAAAATGTTTTTATCCCACATGCACAAAAATGGCGCTTTCTGATAGCAGACGACAGAGATGAAAGTCATTCATTTCTTCGACCGTATGAAAATGGCGGCCGTGTTCTCCCAAGGGCAAGAAAATTAGCTGTTTACATGCATTTTTCTTGCACATGGGAGAAAACGGCCGCCATTTTCATACAAGTCGAACAAGTGAATGACTTTTACTCCCTGTCGTCTGCTATCTGAAATCGCCCATTTTGTGCATTAGGAATAAAATATGTCGTAAGTAACATGAGAATAAAGGCAGCCAATTTCTTTACGACCTCCACTCGTGTCACAAAAATCACCGTAAAGAAATGGCTGCCTTTATCCTCTTGTTCCTTAATATACTATTAACTAATAAAATAAATCAATAAACAAATGTTTGGTGTTTAGTGTATAGTTCTGAATTTCTTAGAATATACTTAATTTATATAAAATTTATTAAACATATTTTTCCTTGGTCAAAATAATAAATATTAATGCAGAAATTTAGCTTAATATTACCATCTTTGGCATTGGGACGCGTCGCGTCTTCGTTGCGTTTTGGCTCATTCTGGAACGACCCTATCATAGCTTGAGAATTTCCGAAATTTATGGAGTAGTGTAAGAAAATATATCTTACGTAAGAAATTCGTTTAACCAGGTACCCACCCATGTAAGTTAACATAGAAAAATTGTCCACCCACCCCCCCACCCAAATGACCTTACGTAATTT